GCCCCCAGGCCGCCCGCTGCGGGCGTTGCGGCCCGGGCACCCTTCGCCGGCTGCCCAGAATGCCTGGAGACCACCTGCCCGGGAGAGGACGAGGGCTGCAGGGGTGCCACGTATGGGAAGTCACCTTCTGATACATCGAAGTTTTCACTAAATTTGCCTAAAGGGAGGCTCCCCTTCTACAAGAGATGAATGTGTGCCCCGGGTGGCAATAGGTCCTCCCAGAAACTGGTGCTCACCGCGTGACCGCCACCGAGAACTGTCCCAAAGAGAGCTTGCCTCCCATCGTTGGGCGCCTCTGTCGCTCCTCCTGAAGAACTGTTTTTCCCTTTACACAAATGAAATTTTCAAAGGTAAACACTGTCTGCCACATGTAAATACAATCCTGTACTCCCCAGAACTATCCTGACCCTTTCTTCCACATACAACACTTCCTGCCAGTCACAGGGGTCTCTTCTTGCCCTCCCCCACCCCCAGGCCATCCCAAGGGCCCACGCCTAGTCTCACTAAAAATTAGAGGATACAAAAGTAAAATGTGAACTATCCATACAATGGAATATTATTTGGGCATAAAAAGACCCATGCTACAAGGTGGATGACAACCTGGATGAAAACATGCTAAGTGAAAGAAGCCAGAAACAAAAGGTCTCATGTTGATTTTATTCATAGAAATGACCAGAACAGGTAAATCCATAGAGATAGAACACAGATTGGTAGATGCCAGTGTTGGAGGAGGAATTGGGGAGTGACTACTAATGGGACTGCTATTTCCTTTGGGGTGATGAAAAATGTGGAAGTAGAAGTAACACAACATTGTGAATTACGTAAATGTTGGACAACATTATGAATATATTTAATGCCTTGAATTATACACTTTAAAATGATTTAAATGGTAAATCTTATGTGTATTTTACCACAATATGGGGAGGGGGCACTACAAGTAACATATCATTGTTGTGGTAGTCCTGCTAAAAGTGCCTACTCTCAATCTAATCATGAGAAAACATCAGACAGTCCCAAATTAAGAAATATTCTAGGGGCTGGGGATGTGGCTCAAGCGGTATCGCACTCTCCTGGCATGCGTGCGGCCCGGGTTCGATCCTCAGCACCACATACAAACAAAGATGTTGTGTCTGCCGAAAACTAAAAAAAAATTTAAAAAGAAAAAAGAAAAAAAAAGAAATATTCTACAAGGAATTAACCCGTACTCATCAAAATTGTCAAGGTCATGAGACACAGAAACTGAGGAACTGTTACTAAGGAGATATAACAACTAAGTGGAACATGGGAACAGAAGAGGGTAGTAAGGGGAGAGGGTGGAGCCCCTACAGGTCTGCAGTTTGGGCACCGTGGGGCTGCCAACTTTCTGGTTTGGATCTTTGTCCTACAGTTATGTAAGACCATGTTAACAATAGCGGAAACTAGATGCAGGGTAAGGGAAACTCCCCAGTATTTTTGCAACTTTTCTTTAAGTCTAAAAATAGTTCAAAATAAAAAGTTAAAAATAAAAACAAACTCTTACTGAGCATCAACTATATGTTAGGCACTCTCCTGTATCTGAGGCTCAGGAAAGGGGTGTGCCGTCGTGCAAGCTGTTAAATGAAATAATAATGGTAAACTAATGTTGACCAAACATGTCCCAAGTGCCAGAAACTACTGGATGCTTTCACTTGTGACAGATTTGGTCCTTACCACAACCCTCCAAAATAGATATTATTGTCCCTCATTAGGAAATATGAAACTGGGGATTGAAAGGTAACAGGTCCCACAAAGGGCAAATCACAAGTTCACAACTGAAACCAAACCTCAGACTTGAGGCATGACACTCTGAATGAGCCTCCATTGACCCAGCACAGACCCTACCTGTCTCTTCCAGCTGGGCAGGAGACCCTCACAATTTGCATTTCTCTGTACTAATGCAATACTGCCCTCCCCACTTCCTGTTTTCCTTAAATTGGAAAGTTTGTCTGTCTGCATTTTGCCTGCTCCTCAAATAACTTCAGTCGACCCACCATTTGTGATGACTTTCAAATGTATAATTTAAATAGTCCTGACAGATTTTGAGACCCAGGTCATGCCCATACACATGTCCCTGATTCTCTATTTTTTAAAAAATATTTTTAGTTGTAGATGGACACAATATCTTCATTTTATTTATTTTTATGTGATGCTGAGGATTGAACACAGTGCTTCACACATGCCAGGCAAGAGCTCTACCACTGAGCTACACCTCCAGCCCCCTGCTTCTCTTTTATATGTGCTCCTGGAAGCAATTTGGCAGCAGTCTCTGATGTTGAAACTACTGTTGAAATATCCAAGCTGTCCGACACTTTTTGGCCTCCAGGTTAGGGTGTGAGTCACTCCATAAGCCCTCAGGAATTGAGGGCTTGGTGCCCAGCACCTTACATTAGGCCCACAAGGCACAGGATATGCTATTCCTTTTTTCCAGAGGCCCAGGAAAGATGCCTAAGAAAGGGCTGCAATACAAAGATGGAATCAGTTAGGCTTGGAGACAGACTGGACATGTGGGAGAGTTCTCCAGAGGAGGCTAACCACATTCTCCTAATGCCAGAACCCAGAGGGAAGTCATGTGAGGGTGCTGGGTCTTTCCTCTCCATCCTCAGAAAGCATGTATCTCCTGATACCCAGGAGATCCGGGACAGATGCCATGGCTTTCTCCCACTATCCAATCCAGGTTACTGCCAAATCTGCAGTAAAACCTGCAGTAAAAGGTTTTCTTTCCATCTGTGTTATATGCAGAACTTCCATCCAGCCACAGTGTGAATCAGAATGTGTTCATACCAAACTCCACAAAAACTTACAGAAAGGCTGGGGTTGTGGCTCAGTGGTAGAACACTTGCTTCGCATGTGTGAGGTAAATGAAATAATAATGGTAAACTAATGTTGACCAAACGTGTCCCAAGTGCCAGAAACTACTGGATGCTTTCACTTGTGACAGATTTGGTCCTTACCACAACCCTCCAAAGTAGATATTATTGTCCCTCATTAGGAGATGTGAAACTGGGAATTGAAGGGTAACAAGTCCCACAAAGGGCAAATCATAAATCCGACCCTCAGCACCACATAAAAATAAATAAATAAAGATATTGTGTCCATCTACAACTAAAAAATTAAAAAAAAAAAATCTTACAGAAAGCCTTGACCGCCCCAGCCTCTCATCCTCACCTTCCCTCACTGGAAGTCTGCCTGCATCAGAAGTCATCCAGGGTGAAAAGCCATGACTGGCTGCAAGATAAGTAGCATGTTGAGGGAGCTCTGGCCAGTCTCATCACACTGGTCCCTGAGGGCTTGGCTGTGCCCAAGTTATTTCTGGTTGTCAGGTGGGCAGCAATCTTGGGAAGCCACCCATGGGAAGAGAGCATCCCCTGCTGCTGGTGTATCTGTGTACAAAACTACAGCTATAGTCTTTGGGGTCCTTTTTCCTTCCAGTTGAAGAGGGTGAATTTGGAAGACTCTACCACATTTTCCCCACCATTGACTTCTTTGATCCAAGTGTCTGGTCACAAGTCTCAAGCCTTCACATTAACAGGATCAGGTGTTCCAGCAAAGCAAAAGAAAACTGATTAGCAAAGATTACCAAAATCCCTTGCAGGTTCCCCGTATAATCCAGGAGTGTTTGACCTAGCCATTTATATAGATTCCAAACCCTGCTCTGCAGTTGCCAAGCCCAGTAATTGTTCATTGAATGAATACATATTAAAAGAAATAAGATGTGTGAAGTAGTTGCTCTCACTTGCTTTTGATAAGTAGAATAAGTAACATTTTATATAATATTTATGAATTGACAAGCCTACTTACACTTATGCTAGAGGCTCTGGCTTGAACCTAAACCTAAAGTTGGGGACAAGCCTGTGTAAGGCCTCGTAGGGCAGGGAGAACAAGCTTCCTGGGAGCAATCACACTTTGAAGTAAGAAAGAGCTGTTTGGTGGCCCTTGTAAAATAAGCTTAATTTGAGAGGTGGGGGAATTCTTAGTAAAGTGCGTGTCAGTCATCTGGCCCAGCTCCCGCTGAACTGTCTGATGCTCCCCTCTCATCTTGTGGATGATGGTAAGGAACCAGGAAATGGGTGCAAGAGTTGTGCAGTGGGTTGAACGATGTCTCCTCAAAATTCACATCCACCTGGAACCTCAGGATGTGACCTTGTTTGGAAATAGGATCTTTATATATGTAATTAGTTAAGGTGAATTCATACTGGATTAGAGTGGCCCTAAATCCAGTGACTGATGTTCCTATAAGAAA